AAAAAAAAAAAAAAAAAAAGCCAGCTTCCATACTCCCTGGATTGTTGTTATTCTAGACATATTAGAAATATGCTTGATTATGCACTAAATGCTGAGATTTGCAACAGCTGCTTTTAGCAAAACTATTAGCAAAAGGCTGCCATTCTTCATCGATTACAAAAGGGAATGGCAGTAGTGCTTTTGTGGCCATGGCCACTTCTGACAGCTGAGAGAAATATATATGTTCAGGGTGATGTCTGGAATGCAAAACAGGAATAAAGTGTGCTTCCCTGATTGTGTCTAGTGTTCAAGATATTGATGGAGCCAGCAAGCTTGTGTTATTATCAGGGCTGCACAGCCATGAATACATAAACTGGAAACTGACTTTTCCAAGTAAAATATGTCTTTTTCACATTACTTTTGTGGGAGTCAGCGTCCAGAGTATATATTCAAAACTTATTACTGGTAATTTTTCTATAGAAGATAAGCCCCAAAAGGGCAATGTCAGCATCTCTCTTTACAAATGCACGTGTCTTCTGTGTGCCGGAGTTTTGCTGAAACTACTAGTGGCAGGTCAGGGGAATATTTATTGAGACACGTAATCTCATGATCTGAATTGCAATGTAGTGCTGCAGTGAGCCATAAATTCACTTCTTTTTTTTCTTAAACTTAAAAAACCCCAAACCCACAACTATGAAATGTGTTGATTCAATTTTTACTTCAATTCTGATAAGAAGATGGATGCTGTTTGGGTTGCCATGGTGCTATTTTTGGAATTGTTTAGAAAGAACATTGCACAAAATAGTTAGTTTCTATGCCAGCAGCTGTGCTCTTCCTTCACCCTTCCCATAAAAAAATATTTTCACAATCATCTAATTTCTTTCAAAAGTACTACATAATGCATGTGGAAGGGGAGAGGTTGTGCAGCAAGATGACAGTTTTTTTGACTGTACAAGGAAATCATGTCTTTACTTACCATGAAGTAAATGAAACTACCTTTGGTAGTCCATTACAAAAAGTAATTCCATGAAAATTCACATACAATGTCACAAACTCATTTCCTACTAACAAAAGACCGGAAAAAAAGGTGAACAAGAAAAGTGGCAAAATCAGAGCCCTGAATTTCAAACGAGAAAAGTTGAGGTAGGAATCTGCTGGACAGTATCACCAAAGGAGTGATATCTTGCTTATTGAAGAAATTCAAAGCTTGACAGGATGAGGCCTGGGTCACCTGCTTTGACTGAACCTCTGATCACTGTGGAGTGGAGGGAGGCTCCAGCCAGAGCCTATGGAAAACTTGAAGTCTTGTGATATGATAATTTCAGCATCCCTTCCTTTCTCAATTAACCTTTAAAACTTACTGCTCCCATCCAGCCTTCTCTTACCTCTTCAAAGCCTTGAAGCAGGCGACCCTCATTTCCTGTGTAAAACAATGCACTGCTACTACCTAACTGAATTTTGGCATTTGTAACCAAAAATAATGGGATTTGCAGGCCTAGTGTAAGCTGTTCTTAACAAGAAAATACATAACATATCAACGTCTCCATTCTAGTTTGTCTTTGCAATTCTATTGACTGTGCATTATTTTTTTTTTTCGGGAATCATGTTTAAATAAGTCTGCTCTGTTATTCTCATAGCATTGAATCCTCTCATATTCCTTTACAATGAAATAACCTTTTTAACTAGTCCCAGTCAAGTTTTGTGTACTCTTTGTCATGCTCTTCAGGTCAACAAACTAAACATAAAAAGCTCAGATTTCATGCTTGATTACTTTGAATGACAGAAATAGCTCAACGGAGAGCAAGATATCCCACCCCAACTACATTTTGGTGAAGTTAAAATATGTTTCTCTGTTGAAATAATAAAAAGGGTCAATATTTTAGTCTTTTATAAGGAAAAAAAAACCACAAAACCAAAACAGGAAAGATAATCAATGAATCAAATATTCTGTTTCAAACTTTGGGAGGGTCTAAACTTTAAAATAATTTTTAAACAAATTTTGACATAATAGGCAATTTAAAAATCTCAAACCAATTATTAGAATATTTTGAAATTTCTTTGTAGTACTCCTTGGATGACAAAAGATTCCATCACTATTGGTCTTCTTTCAAAGATTCTTTTTATTTTTACCAATAGGACTGGCATGGAAAAAAAATAATAAGGTAATTGTTCTAGAAGTCAAATCAATATTTCATAAACATTTCTCTTATGGTATAAACTCAGATGTCCTACAGATCCTTACAGTTATTCTGATATAAACAACAAGGCTTTTTTATTAGTACTATTTCTGTCAGTTTTGCCAACAAGTTATAAATCTTAGGCTCCATTCTATTAGCAGTTATTGATGAGTGTCCTTTAGTTTTAGCAGTAAAATTTTAGAGTAAAATTCAGGCGTGCTTGATTTGCTGTGATTTACAGAATGTTAGTTTTCAATACCACTTTTATTTTTTCAAAGAAAACACAATCTTTAAAATTCCATACCATTTCTTGAGCTGTGTCAATGGTTTAACATTATTGTTTTCTCTTTATAAAACATAAATAACTAAAGCACATCATTCTTTTTTTCTGCATTTTGTAATGCTTTGCATCAAATGTGTGTTGCTTGCACATGAAAAATTAAAAATATATTTAAACGTTGACTGTCATATAAGTTATTTCCCTAAAAAGAAACATTGTATCTTTTTTTTCATTTCATTACTCCATGTAGTAATGTAAGTACATATTTTAATTGAAATGTCATGAAGTATAGTTAATGTGATCCTTCCTCATGACATTTTCGCATTAAAGGCTTACAGCTGTAGTGCCCTGCATTATTGCCTGGAAAAATATAACTTGATTTTAGAGTCTACTTTTAAAAATACATTGGTTTCATGCCTTGCAATAAAATAGAAAGCTTGTTAGATACAAAGAGCAATACTTGATAATACTGAAAGGATGAGAAACCAATTTCAGAAAACCCATTTAGAACATTAAGTATGCATTTCAATAAGTAAATGACTGGAGGCATATTAAAAAATACGAACCATCATGCCAGGTCTCTCATAAAAAGATAAACTTTACATATTATCTGTTAGTTTAAAAGATCTGACAGGTAGGTTAATACAGTTGAAAGTGCTGTCAATGTGAAATGGAATATTTTTCATATTCAGCTCCAGCTATTTATCAGACTCTGTATGTTTCCCTTAATAAGACTTAGTTTGTACATCAACTTTTCTTCTTCCTTTTGTATAATAAAGTTGGACAACCTGGAGCATGTACCTAGGAATATCTACACTAATAATCAGTTATGTGCAGGAATCATCAAGCACCTCAGTTGGTGACAGAATTTTCAGGAACTTTGATGGCCAGTGTCTGCTTTCTTCACATTGCATGATCACTTTTTTGAGTGAGGAGATATAGATATGGATTTAGCTGTGGTATTTATTTTCATTCATTCACTTATTATTTGCTGATATTTTCTTTCGTTTAGAAGTTGATTTTAATGAAATTTCCTGTCAGCTTAAGAACATGATGTGCCCATTAACTTTAAAAAGTGATCGTTAATCAAATAACACTTAAGTTTTTTGTGTTTTCCTCAGGAGATAGAATATCTCTTGGAACAGCTTTTCATTCCCTATTGCTCAAAAAACCATAACAGGAGAAGTTTGTCCTGCCATCATGCAGCAAGTGTTTACAATGCTAGTACCAAACCTCTCAGCACCACTGTCAGTCATTGCTGTTGTATGACGAGGTTACGTGGGCCGGGCACTGAAAAAATTGTCCTTCAAACAGTTAACCTTTGCTGTTACTTTCCTGCCAAAGTCATAGGACCTTTCATGTGGAACATCTCTCAGTGAGGTACTCCCAGAACAAAACTTTGACAAGTCCATTAAGGTTTATTTCCAATTCTGAATATTTTTTAAAACTTTTCAATGTTCATTGCAGAAAAATAGAAGTCTTAAAGGTCTTGCAATATTCCATGAATATTCTTGAAAAAATGTCCAATGACCTCCAAATGCACAATGCTGATTAAAACAGGAATGGTGGAGATTACACACATCGCTGTGCTGTTTCTCATGTAGGCAATCTTCACTCCAAATCAACAATGCAAATTCCAACATTGAATTGCAAAGATCATAGGAAAACATTCTTCAAGGCTGATGGGAAAGCCTAACACTGTGGCAGGCTATTTTTTGCTGCAGATTATAGTTTGAAAATTATTTTAATTATGGGGCAGTGAGGAAATGCAAGTAAACAGATTAACAAGCAGCAGGAGGAACAAGATATTTCTGTGGACTTTCTCCATTTGCAGTGAATTTTCTGCTTTCATGTGCATTTATTTTGCTCCATTGGTCCATTTTAAGTTGTAATGTAAAGAAAACTGCACAACATCTGGTCTATAGTTATGGCTGAAAACAAAGCGACAAGGAATACTTCCTCCACAGTATTTCTAATTCTTACTGAGCTGTATTGGAAGGGCAAGGGTACTCAAGCCTGGATTTTAAAGACAACTACCTGAACTAAACACCTAATTTCATTCTACAGTAAGAATATGAATTCCAACTTTAGGAGACTGCAGTGCAGTTCTTTAATGTACTTAGAGCTTGGTTCACTTGATCTTACTGAAGATTCAGGAGTTGATCGACCAAACACTTGTTTTAAAGGCAACTCCCATATTTTTCTTTCATGGTTGTCTACTTTTTCACAAAGCTGTGGGGTATAATCCTTTTTCAAAATTTAATATTGAGTTTTCCCAAACCTCCATTCTGTATGTTTTATGTAAAAGGTTTTTGCAAAAAATCATAAACTATTTATAAGTATCTTCTGATGGTGCATACCTTTCCCTTTCTTTCCCTTTATGCCTTAGCTATTACCTAGATGGCTACTAGCATGGACCTGAAGAACTAACAATTTTATTCTCACCTTTTTTTTCAGTGGAACAAGAATTGCAAAAGAATCCATGAGCAACTGGTCTAATGTGTCTGAAATATCCCTGATCACTGCTCTATGACAAAAATTTGATTACCTGTGTTTCTTTGCAGGAGCATATGTGCTTCAAGTAAAAGCGACAGATGCTGATGATCCCACTTATGGAAACAGTGCTAGAGTGGTTTACAGCATTCTTCAGGGGCAGCCATATTTCTCCATTGATCCTAAGACAGGTAAATAGTTTATCAGCAATAGTGGAAAATTTAAGCTTTGGGTTTTTTGATTCATGTAGGCAGTATCAATGAATAAATATGGACCTGGTTGATATGGCCAAAATCCAGGAGAGCAATTTCCCACGATTCACTTTTGAGTATTGACTAGCTTTTTATGAATTACAATGTGTTGTACAAACAAAAGAAACATGCTCGTCCAGTCACTACTGGAATATCTAAAATATGTCTACATGGAATGAATATTTTTTCAATGTTTTGCCATTTCCCTAAGATAAAGCTTTGTCTTCAACATGCATCCTTTTTTTTTTTTTTTTTTCCCCTGATGATTGAGTATTTTAACTTGGGTCTTCTCAGCATTTTTACTTGCTGAACATACAGTCAGAAATTCTCCAGCAATTATTGTTTTGTTATGTTGACCTAAGTTGAGACTGTGGAACAGGTAATTGTCTCCTTCCCTCCTCTTTTCCTGGGGCATATTATCTTTGGGGTTAATGGATGTGTGAGCAGAAAAAGATAATATGTTTAAAGAGACTGAAGTATTTGGGAGGTTGGTAGACATGTAAATTGGGTATCTTGTCCTATATTTCTAAATGTCATTCTTGATTCTATATTTAGCAATTCAGTTGAGGAAGCGATAAAGTACATGGTGAATGACACACATTGTGGCATCCTGAGTGTGCTATAGGGAAAGCTATCCATATGCTCCTTTCAGCAAATAGTATCACCTTCCAATGTAGCTGTACTTGAATGTCAGATTCAGGGCCTATAGCCATGAAGGTGGAGCTTTGCAAGACTGTGAGAGCTCCATCTCCAATGTACACATTCCTTTTCTCCATGCTCCATTTAGCAGGAAATCGTACTGCATTTTGCAGTGAGCAATTTTATTTTTCAGACTGAAATAGGACTTCTTTGGGTGTCTGGGGAAAAAAAGTAGTTGCCTTTATATTTTATTTTTCATTTCAGTTTTGTAAAGAATGGTATAAATTCAGTGGCAAGAAAAAGATTTACTGGAGCCAAAATTGGAGTTTTAGTACAAGTTTCACAAGAAAAAAAAAGTAGTACATGGAAGAAGAACTATTTCTCCCATGGCACTTTGAATGGCTGTGTCATATGTTCTCATCTGCTACTCAATAGTGAGTCAACCATAGGTGATGGCCTGCACCCTACAAGCCCTGGAACATCACACAAACCTGGCTATTACCTTAAATGAATTTCATGTGCTAAAAGAATGGACACAGCTGTAGAGGAAGATTGGTGAAACATTAGGCCAGCGTAGTTTAAAATCCTATGCCAGAAAAAAAGCATATAGATTCATGCTTCTACAAGCATCAATAATATGCTGTAACATGTCATATGTTAGGAAGTTCACATTATGACAATTACTCATGGGTCTAACAGTGACTTTAGAGGTAAACAGTATGTGAATAACATTGCACAGAATGATGCCTAAGGATTTGGTCTAAAATCCAGAAGTCCAGGGCAGTACTACAGATCTGCTGTTTCAAAATCTTTATTTTATAACTGAGGAGTTTATACAGTAGTTTTTGACTGCTGAGTTTTACTGCAGAAATCTGTTCTGAGTGCTTTTGGCAGGAAAGGGGAAAAAAGTCATTTTGGTACAATGACAAACTCAGAACACCCCAGCAGATGAATAAGCATTTTTTGTGTTGTTGCTGGCTTGTTTTGCCATCTCTTGCATTGCAAAACAATTTTGAGACATAATCTTGTAGTTATTTAAAGAACACAGGAACATCTATGCTAAGTTTCTACCCTGTGTTGTGTTTCCAAAAGTGATGGCCTGCTTAACTCTAGTGCGGGACGAAAAGTGTTTAGTGATGTACCCCTGAAATACATTTCTAGTCTTGAAAGAACTTGTCCTTTCAAAGTTCCTGGGTGACTAGCAGGGTCAAAGTAACTAAAAGTCTGAAAGTATTTCTCCTTCACAAGTTTTCCACTTCCAGTATATTTGACTTGTTCAGGGGTATAGCAGCTGCATACCCACCAACTAGAAATTCCACAGCAAAAGTTTATTTGGTTAAGAACCTGCTCCTCTTGCTCTTTTTTTGAAAGAGGGGCATCTCTTAACTTGTTTCATATCTCACACATTACATAAGACAGTGAATAGTTAATTTCTATTTATATTCTCCCTGAAATGACTCTTTCCAGATTGAAGACTTCTTTATTCAGACGCCATTCCATACCAATAATCATCCTTCTCCTCCTCAGAGTGAGAAAGTGCACACAGTATTCAGGAAGGCAGCTGATATGGATGTATAGAGCTGTTTAACCGCACTTCTGTTCTCTATTCCTTCCCAAACAGTTCCCAACATTGTTTGTGTCTTTAGCTTCTACGGCACAGATGTTGATATGCTTGTGGAAATTTCTGTTGCTAGCTCAAGATCCCATTGGAAAGCAGTAACAGTGAAACCGCTGACCATAACTTTATGTGTGAAATAAGGGTCGTGTTTGTCAAGCACATGACTTAGCACATACTCTTTCCTCTTTCACTCCTAAGAGGTGTTACACATTTACTCTGATATGAAACTAGTACACTTAAATAGTTTTCAACCTCTATGGGTCTGAATGTCACAGCTGCCCCTTTTTCTCCTTGTCTTTATTGACCTCCTAATCTTTTTCCATCTTTTTGTTGGAGATAAGCAAACTATGTGGAAACAGGAGAGTTAGCTTTTATTTATATTTCAGGGAGGTTACATGAAGTACAGTATCTTCTGGAGAGCAACTGTTTGAATGCCACATTGTAAGGCCTCAAGCCTTGTGTGTCAGGGGTACTTTTAAATGCTATAAAATTTCTCTCCTGATTTCAATGTGAGGGGTTTTTAACATGAGAATTTATCTTAAAACAGATTACCTCTCTTCTCTTTCCTCTGTATATTCTCTTTTTCTTATAAAAATGTACATTTCCACCATAAAAATGTCCTTTCTACCCAATTTTCTGATATGTTTTTGAGGTCAATATTCTTATTTATGGCTAGATGTTACCAGGTTTTGTTAGACTTTGCATTCTAGTCCATCTTCTGACTTCAGTTATATTATTGAAATCCAAATTGGTATCAGCAGAAGTATTGATGTTAACATTTATGCACGAGATTTTTCTTGTAATCTGTGTTTTCTTTTCCACAAAAGGGAGTGATCTCGTGCTGAATTATGGGTCAATAACTTTGGAAAGAAAATCTTATGGCCCAAGTCCCATACATACTATTTTCAGTTTTCAGCAATCTCATGGAGACCATATTTTTCTACACATTTGATATTGATGACATCTGAAAAGACAAAAAAAAAAAAAAAGATAATCAATGTTATTCACTTCTGCAGTTGAACAATTTTGTAAAATCTTAATGTAAAATGACTTACAAAAACTCGGAACACCATCACATGCACATAAGGCCTCTACATGTTAACAACGCTTTGATTTGAATTTAGATATTCTTTATGATGCTGTAAATGAAATACCAGCATTTGTAGCCCTTTCCTTCCCATGGATCCTTACCTCTACTTTATTCTTCTCTTTTGCTGGTAAGATAACTCTAATACACATTTGTCATGTCCATATGAACTGATTTTGGAAGAAATAATATTTCTCAGTATTTTGTATAAGCCTTTGAAATAGAGTAGGCAGAAAAAAAAATTGCCCATGAATTGCTAGACATAAAAATTATTTTGATAGATTTTTTTTTCTAAAGATAAAAGTTTTTTTTCCCAGAAAAATATATAGAATGACCTTACACTTCCAGACAGGAATAAACAGTGGGTGATTTGAAACTTTACTACTGGAGTGATAGCCCATTCTTCATATTCTGAAAAACCCCTGGAATTTCTGAGAAAGTCACTTAGTTGTACCCAGAACACCTATATCAACCAGATAAATTGCATTTTCTCTTCACAACCTGCTGTGTGCCCATGTTTAGTTTTTTCTGTCATCTTTTTTAACTTCAGCAAAGCTTTTGATACCATCTCTCACAGGATCCTTCTGGACAAAACGTCCAGCACACAGCTGGGTAAACACCACATCATGTCATGGGTGAGCAACTGGCTCACAGGTCAGGCACAAAGAGTTGTAGTGAATGGGTGACCTGAGTGATGGGGTGATCAGAGTGGTGACCTGGCACTAGTGGGGGGTCTGCCAAGTTCCATCCTCAACACAGTGTTCTTCAACATCCTCATAAATGATTTGGACACAGGACTGCAAGGAACACTATGTGAGTTTGCTGATGACACACTATTGGGAGGAGCTGTCTACTCTCTTGGGTCAGGGAGGTCCTGCAGATTTTTGACAAAATAGAGACCTGGGCAGTCACCAAACATAAGAAGCTTAACAAAGACTTCGGTCTATACACTGGTTGTGTATAAACTGGGGAATGAGGGGCTGGAAAGCAGCACTGTGGAAAGTAACCTGGATGTCCAGGACAATGGCCAGTTGAGTCTGAGTCATTGTGTCCTGGCCGCCAGGAGGGCCAGCCATGTTCTGGGGTGCATCAGGCACAGGATTGTCAGCCACGCAAGGAAAGAGATTGTCCCGCTCTGCTCTGCACTGGGGCAGCCTCACCTCAAGTGCTGGCAGCAGTTTTGGGTGCCATAATATAAAAAAGACCCATGAGAGCTCCTAGAGAGCATCCAAAGAAAGGCCACGAAGATGGTGAAGGGCCTTGAGGGGAAGCCATATGAAGAGGGACTGAGGTCACTTGGTGCATTGAGCCTGGAGAAGGGGAGACTGATTGGAAGTCTCATTGTGAGACACACATTCTCCCATTCTTGTGAGTGGAAGAGGAGGGGCAGATACTGATCTCTCTCCTGACCAGTGACAGGACTAGAGGAAATGTCATAAAGCTGAGTCAGGGGAGGTTTAGGTTTGATATCAGAGAAAGGTTTTTCACCCAGAGGGTGGTTGGGCACTGGAACAGCTTCTCAGGGAAGTGATCACAGTTTCAGTGTGACAGAGTTCATTAAGCATTTGTACAAACAATCTCAGGTATGTGGGATGTCCTTGGGGTGTCTCCTGTGGTGTCTTGCACGGACAGGAGTTGAACACAATGATCCTGATGGGTGGCTTCCAACTTAGCATAGTTTGATTCTGTAATTCTCATATTTAATTTTGTTAGTATGACACAAGAGGGCTTTCATTCCCATAGGTCTTTTCTCCTTGGAATGAACATACCAAGGTCGTTGTAAAATACTGTGGAACATATAGCCTCCACAAAATATATGTCAAAATAAGCATTAATTAAGTTTAAGAGAATCAAGAGGAAACCTGTAAGGTTCATCCTATTTGCAAAAATATACTTTTTCTGAATCTCATGAATATGAACAAATTTTTTTTCAGTTTTAAATTTCAATATTTCAATTTGAAGCAAGCTGCAAGCAGTATACTATGTGCCATCCTGAGGCAGGAAAATGGTGATACCTAATATTGTCCTTATCATCATGTTACAGGTGGCAAGAAAGGATATTTTTATGGAGTTCAATTCAATGGGAATTTTTAATAGGTTCCAGAAATAGCAGATTTAGGTCAATGTTATTTCTAGACTCTGAAAAAGTATTATAAGCTAATGATTCCTATTCTGGCTTGTTAAGACAGCAGTGGTTAACTGCTATAAAGATAAGAATGGTCCTTGAAGTTTTCTTCTTGCCATTTCAAACTCATTTTAACGCCAGGTAAAAACCTGCTTTTGACATCAAAATGTTTAATACTAGAAAATAATACTTTCTAAATCAATAATAACCAGGAAGGACATACTTACTATTGGTTTATTTTTCAATTTTGCATGTTATCTGCACCAATGTGCCTAGGCATTTTCTGATAACTGTTGAATAAATAACATAAATGAATTTTGCAATGCTATTTGTATTTGTAAAATTTTGATGAAGGCATGAATTTCCACCTACATATTTGATTGCAAGAAAGTCTTTAGTACCCCAAACCTTTTAGCTTTATACAACCTCATTAGTTAATCTGTGTGTTCAGTAGTACCTCTCCCTTTCTCTCCCCCTCTTTCACTCTCCATGTTTTCCTTTCAATTCTATATATTCTTAGCATATCCAAAGGGAGATTATGGCATATCTGCTTAGATAGCAGCTATCCAAAATCACTAAAGACTAAAAGCAATGTCTTACTGTGATATTTATTCCTTTTTTAAAAGGAAATGTCTCAAATTTTCACTGCATATTTGTGCTATATCAAGAAAACTTTCTCTAGGAAAGGAAGTGTCTTCTAATAAAGACCTCCTTTTGTACAGAGGAACATTGTCTTGGCCTACAGTAACTTGAAATTATTATGAAGTGAATGGTTGGAAAGAATTGAAGATGCAGGGTCTGCAATGCAATGCCACCTCTTTCCACATTCCCTTACTCTGTATAAGTGTTCCTCATCCCTGATGTGGCAAACCTATGATCACAGCATTCACATCCCAAGTGAAAATGCATCATTCTCTTTCATCCATTCATAACCTGATTGAAAAGACAAAACAGGCATTTTGAGTGATTGAATAGCTGACAAACACTTTTGAAAAGCCTGAGTGATTTGCATGTTTTCATGTGACCTCCTCTCATCAAACCATTCAGAAGAATTCTGTTCCTCGTTCGAGATCTGGTATTAATTTGTAGGAATAGACAGTCACAGCCCTTTGTTTATTTGCTCCTTTTCTTTCCCATTTCTTCTCATAGGTGTAATAAGAACGGCTTTGCCAAATATGGACAGAGAAGTGAAAGAACAATATCAAGTTCTAATCCAAGCCAAGGACATGGGAGGACAGCTGGGAGGACTAGCTGGTACTACCACTGTAAACATTACTCTCACGGATGTCAACGACAACCCACCCAGATTTCCTAAGAGTATGTAATATTCCAAAGTACTGATTTTCAAATAAGCATGACTAAAAGTATTAATTTGGAAAAATGCTGTAGATAAGAAATTGAGATCCTGGAAAAAGAACAGTATATAATGAAAAAAATCAGACATCCTGTTTTTTTAAAATAATATAAAGCTCAATTTGAAATTATGAGTGAATGTTTAAGAGGATATGTGCCATCATTCCACAAAACTAGCCTGAGCCTGAGTTCCATTCATTTACACTATAATAATTATTTGGGAAATACTATTTTGTCAAGGGAAACTGCATGAACTCCTTCAAATTACAAAAGGTTATAACCTGAGATTTCCAGGTACCAAAGGCAGAGCTGGCTCATGCTAAGCATTACTAATATGATATTCAGGAACAGATTTTTAGATGTCTTGGCACAGAAGATGATATCTATCCCTGAAAACACATACAGCCTCAAAACAGTGATCATTCACTGATAATTTATTATGTTTCACATCAGTTAGTTTAAATGAAGCTTTTCAGAATTATGCTAATTTAAAGAGTTTCATAGTCTGTGTATGATTAGGAGGATTGTCACTTACTTGTCTCCATAAATTTACTGAAGTTTAGTATATTCCGGACCTTCAAAATGCAGAAACTAATCAAGCATATATCTTGATAACTATGCCAAAATAATTAGTTGCTAAAATTCGTTAGTAAGGCTAATTCATATTAGAATATATTGCATGAATCTGCAGTAAGATCATGGCAGCTTTTTACTTTGCATCTCTTTCTTGCCTATGAATTGAAATCATGAAATCATATGTATCATGAATACTCCATAAGTACAAAACCACATCCGCAACTGTGAAGTTTTTTTCTCATATAAAAATTATTCTTCTTTTACTCAGTATGAAAATAAATTGTGTTTTTGCAAGCATGTAAGAAAAATCATGTTATGAGAAGGATGCATTTGGTCATGCCTTCTGTCTCTTACACTCATGTCTAGATGGTATCTACAAAACAAGCCAAGCAATACTTCATAAAACTTCCTTACTTTCTAATTGTATTTAGTTCTAATGTCTTTATATTTAACAACCTGCAATGTATTTTTCTTGCAGCATTTTGCCCCATTGCTTTGAAATTTATGTTAAATTTCAGAGTCCACATCCTCTGTCAGAGGTACACAGATTAATATATATCATACAACTAACAGCTTCCCCTCATTTGTTTTTAATCCATCTTCACATAATTGCCTGCATGTTAACCTCTTCAAAGAATTCAGAAAGCACTGCAAAATATCAGCTTTATTTAGAGAAGCTGTGTTGATTTCTTATTTTTCAGAATGGGAAATTCCCTCTGAATTGAGTAAATCTGCTCCAACTGTTTTGCCTATAGTTTTGCCTGTACATGTCAGTCATATCCACCCTTATCTCCCGTGGACTCCCTGGAGAACTTCTGGGGAAAAAAAAAAAATCAGAGTTATATTATACCTCCAAGCCTTCTTTTGCCACAGTGGTTTGAAGCAAAATATTGCACATCATAATAGTTCCCTCATTTCATTCCTCAGGCTCTTGGCATGTAACAGCTAATCCAAATGATTTGTTACTGTTGTGTCTGTTTGTTCCACAACTGCTTCTATAGCTAATTTAACCTTCTCCTGAGTCCCCTATAAAGTTCTAGGATTAAAAAAAAAAACCCAAAAAACAAACAAACAAACAAACAAAAACCCTCAGGTTTTTTCTACAGTAACAATAAAGAAAAAATATAGTAAGTTTTACATTTGTGATATTATCTTCTCTGAGCACTTCTGTATTTCAGTGTTGGGCTTGCTTTATACAGTTCCTCTTAGGCTTTTGTTTCCAGATGTCTTAAAAGACAATTATTATTAGCTTGTTTACAGAGATTTATTCAAACTCATTTTTTGTCTTCTTTACTGTGGTTTTATAGATAAAGCAGGTTTTATGGTTCTTTCTATTGTCCTCTCTGAGATATAACTTCATTTTTTTTGAAAGATGTGTTCTTTCTTTTATTAGCTATGTTGTTTGCCCTTACAGATTTTCCTTTTAATGGATATGTGCATTTGCTGTGGGTCCTCTAAATGATATCCCTAGATAGCATCCACACCACCCATAGTGATTTAACAGTCTTAGCTATCCCATTCAGAATTTCTATAGTAATATGCCTCAGTTTTATTTATTTCCACTTTCATCTTTTTATTTATTTAATTGAATACAACCATCTTGTAATTGTAGTTTTTATTGCTCTTGCACAAGTATTGCATTTAAGCTAATTATAGTTGTTGTAAAGTGTAGAATAACTAGGGAACTTTTCCTGAATACCCAATGTTAATACTGTCCTCTTTTTTAAGTCTTAGTTGACAAAGATTCCTTTCACAAGCATCATTATTCCTCTACGGACAAAGTCTGCTGTGACTTTCCTGCGTACTTTGCTCCTTGATGCTATGCTGCCTGACTGATTTTCTTCTTTCCCACAGATATTGAACACAGGTATAATGCTGATATTCTTCTTTAGCATTAAGCATTAAAGTTACCTCTACTGGGGTAACTAGGTCCCATTTTAACCCTTGGCTTTGTATTAGGCTTTCTTTCTCCTCTTTACTGGTCCCTAGTTTGATTCTGCATGAGCTACCACTTCTGCAATTCCTACTGGGCTGTCATCTCTTTTTGTAGCATTCTCCAGTGAAGAATGCAGAATTCTCATAACTTCACCCTTTGTCTGAACTGCATACCTTTGCTTTTTTTTTTTTTTTTCCTAATTTTATGCTTTCCAACACCTGAAAATTCTCCTGAACCTTTCACTTGGTATCACAATGGTCATAGAAAAGTTTTTAAACTTTCATAAGCCTATTTTTCTCATGGCCAAAAGGAATTTTGCCATTTTTCCTCTTCTTTAACAAGTGCTCCAACATTCTAATATTGTGACTCACTTCTCCTCACCACCTTTTCTCAGCCAGGCATTTAAAGCTCTACCTTTCAATCTTTTTCTCCTGATTGTACATGGTGAGACTAGATCAAACTATGCTACTATCAGTGTCCTAATCTTCAGGTTTCATTTGCTAGCCTAAATTTCAATCCTAAAACTTTTTTATTTTATCAGACCTCACATATGTCCTTTAGTTTCATGACATGCTGTCAAAGCACTTGTGGGATGCTCCAAACCTGATCAATAAGCATATCATCCCAGAGGGTCTCTTCGTACCATCATTCTTACTGCCTTCATCCTCACTGCTTGTTAAACTGACCACAGTTGCAGTCTGCCCCTTCCTTTCAGCTTCCTTTTCAGCTCTTGGAAGGGTACCATGGGTGCAACAGGAAATAATCTGTCTGGAGACTGAAAACTCAGTACATCGGCAAGCTTCATGTGCCCAGTGCTCACTCCCATTCTGGTTTTAGTTGTATATTTTACTTCCTTTGTTGTTAGGGGCCTTAGTATTTTATATTTTGTTGTATGCTTTCATCTGCTGTGGTGGTGCAAAAATGCACAATTTTCGCATAATCTCAGATGGCTTTCATGACACAGAGAAACCATGGAATATATCATCCTCTTTGAAGAAGATAGCCTCCAGGTCTCATTTAATGCATGAGTTGCAGTTATGACATCTTTGCACAATTGCTGCTATGAAGAAACAAAATAAATCACACACAAGAGACCAAGCTTGTCCTGTACTTTGCATGCTAGTAAGGTTGAAAACATTTTCTTTCTATAATATCAAATGTCACAAAAGACAAATTACAGCAGTGATGCTCAACAAAACAGATGAGAATAAGATTGGAGGTTTGTGTTGATAGTGAAAATAACAAACACTTAACATGGCTTACAAGCTAAAATGTCAGTGTGGGAACTCCAGAGTATTGGTCATGTGGTTTTTTTTTTTTTGTGGGTTTTTTTTTTTTTTTGGTTTTTTTTGGGTTTTTTTGGTTTTTTTTCCCCTGCATGTGTTAGAGGCAACAGTTTTGATCAATGTGGATTTACTTAGTCAGCTTTGTTTGGTTATGCAGCATGAGATGATGTGTAGTGTTCCTGAAATTCACAGAGATGCTAGGCTAATTACAGCTAAACTAAATAACTAAGTGAGAAAAAGTAGAGCATGAATTATATTTCAAACATGACAACTGTATTATTAATATTTTTTTTTCCTTGAAAGCATTGCAATGATTTGGACTAATTACCTGCCAGGAAAAGGAGTTTGCCATTTGCTTGACTACCATAGCTAAAAGGATACTTGTGAAGAATTTTAGTTTATGTGAAAAATAAGTCTTTAGAATCTGGTCAGTGTTGGTGCCAAGTTCAGGCCTGGCAAGAGGTCAGGATCCCTGGGTGCTGCTGGGATTGAGACCTCCAGTATCCCACTGCTCGTCATTGGTCAGCAAGGCCAGGAAGTGCAGACTGGAACAAAGGACACAAACTGCTGCAGCGTTAATGTTTTTGTGTCACATAATCAGGACCACAGTTTTGCAAAGGACTTATGCCAAAGAAGCCATGCTATAGATCACCTAATATTTCACAGGATAAAGTTTAAATTCTGAACTTAGTAAAGCTGGAGAAAAAAAAAAAATATTTCACAGCAGAAATGGGAGAACATGTATTATTAATATTTGGAAGGAGCTACATTGATAAATAATACATTACAAGCTTGCAAAAAAATGTATCATGAAACACCTTCATCTCATTGAGGGTCCTTTAAGGAGACAGGCAGGTTTGGATGGGTTATCAGCATCCAGTGATGAAAAACCACTGACTATTCTGCTGAACATGGAATTTCTTATTTAGAACCTGTGCTTTTGAACGTATTCAGTGGGGAACTCCCACCTTGCATGCCTCCTAGTAATGAGGAGTGTAACAGAGAGGAAAGCTCTAAACATATATTTCTGTCAGAGTTTGACCTGCAGGTATCTGTTGGCCCACATTTTAGAAAACTGACACTTCAGTAAACTGATATTTTCTTTAAAACTAGTAGGAAAAAATTAATCTGAATGATTTTATCAGTAAAAATTTATTTCCAGGAGT